TATGCTATACCTTACGCACGCTAATCTACTGCATAAAGGTTATAATTTTGGAACACGTTCGGGAAGAAAGTCTCAGAACCCTTGGTATTTATTCTATGTCTAGGTACTAACAACAAAATGTAGTTTGTTTTCTACGTTAATAAATTGGCACTTAAGTCATGATCGCAACCTACTTGACCAACTTGCAGTACTTAAAAGTTTATTGCCATTACGATTTTGCAGTACTTTATCCCCAACAAAATTTTGCAGTGATTTAACGCCTGTTTTGTCCATTGCTATCGTGTCGACATTTCTGGCGAACCTCACACAGTTTTCATGTTTCTATTTTGATTTTGAATGTTTTATCGTTTGGGGCCTTTGATAGTTGATAATATTTGTAAGGACTAATGTCTAATGAATTTAATTCTAAAAAGGAATATCTTTTACCAAGAATATTAGAAAAGGTATGTATCAGTATGGTTATTGGTTATCTTGTTCCATGTTGATGTTAGGTTCTTGTTCTGACTCTGGTGAAGGCACTGGTCCATACTCCATGGATCCCCAGTTCACATCATTTTTAGCAGCTGTAGTAAAAGTGGCTTAGGTTAGCATGAAATTCATTGGTCTACTTACTTCTTATATTCTTAAATATGACCTGAATCTGGTTCCAAAATACAAACTGCGAAGCGAAGTGAAATGACCATGGCATGAGTTTTTTACTTTGCAACACAAGTATGCCAAATTGGAAAGAAACTATTTTCTTTTGCTATACCTACAATTGTACACAATTTTCATAATGAATTTCGGGAACGGGTCCATCTGGTTCCAACGCTGACTTAGACCGGGTCTGACCGGTTCCAGAAATGTGCCAGTCAGACCGGGTCCGGGTCCGGGTCCCAAAATTTTCCAGTTTTGCCACCTCTAACTCAGACTTTAACTAGGTGGCGAGTCGAGCGGATGTGGGCTGGAAGCTTGCATCACCACTCAATGTCCGTTCTATGTCGGACGTCAGCAATGTGGAGCGCTGGTAAGCCCACGCTGCTGGTAAAGCCATGACCCACGGCAGCATATTCCCATAATCGCTCGTTCAACAACGCGAGTCACCGGCCACTCAGCCCATGACAACAAAGCACCATTACGTCATCTCCTCAGGTACCGTATCGCGTTCACTCAGACGTGCCACAGGCACCGATAGTCCCCCTCTTCATCCATTCGGGAGGGGTCATGGGGTCCATTCTCCTTCACATTGCCCATGCTTGCGCTCATCGAGTTACATCCTCTGTGCGCGCCGGGCGGGCGCGAGTCAATGTGGTGCAACCGCGGACCAATCACGCCGCGAGCGTGCGCCGCGCGGACGGGCGTGTGCGCAGTGCGCGCGGTGGCGCAACTCGGGACGCGCCGCACGGAGGGGCCGGGAAATCGGCTACCGGGAGCACCGATAGCAATAGGTGGTTCCGGCTGATCGGCCTTTGTCGAATATGACGGCGGCAAAAAGGGCGCCGGCTGATTCACCGGGCAATGTCTGCCGCCGCATAGCTGCGGCCACATTACACCAGCCGTGTGAACCAGCCGGACTGGGTGACCTCTCACACCCGGCAACAGTCTCGAGTCCGCAGCTGCTGTCAGGGTCTGGGTGGCCACAAAGGCGCCCGTTCTGACCATTCTCCTTCCCTATGTTCAGCACAGGTCCGAGCCCGGCTCCGGCCCGCCAGACCCGGCCCCTGCCTGCCAGCCTCAGCACAGCTCCGACTCGGCTCGGCTCGGCACCGACCTTGGACGCCCGTCCGGTACCGTCCGGCTCACCGCCGCCGCGCCGCTCCATCCATCCCGTTACACGAAGCACCATCCGGGAAAATGACAGCACGGCACCGCACCGCTGTCATGCGACAGTCGCCTTGGACTGCGGCAGCTATATCGACCGAATCCAGCGCCACCCGTTCTGATTTCGGTCGCCGAGAAGGCCGGTTACGCAATAGAATGAAACTGACGGATATTTCACTCGCATGCAGTCACTCCAAGCGCGAGTGGCAATCCAGATTGCGAAACAATCCAGGAATCAGCTGCCCGAGATGACACTTACTCTATTTAGACCACATTCGCGCAACCACCCGCTCTTAGTAACTACCGAAATAGTTGAATCATCGATTCCCGGTGTCCGGCGCTGCGTGCAATCCACCCATCCCTCACCCACCCTCTCTTTCCCCCACCCGACCGTTCGACTCTGGCACCTCCATACAGGAGGGAGTCGGGACCCACCTAGATAGGGCTTTCCACTGAGCACGTCCGGGCTGATGTAGGCCGGCGAGCCACGCTGGTCCTTCACCAAGTCGTCCTCATTCAGCAGGTGCTTGCCCAGACAAAAATTGGTAAGCACCACCTTCTTCGTGCGCCGGTTGAGCACGATGTTACCCAGCTTGAGGTCGCGGTGCACCACGTTGTTCTTGTGCAGCATGGCCACGACGCGCACCACGTGGCTGAAGATGAGCAGCGCCTCCTGCTCGGCCAGCCGCTTCTGGCGGATCACGTAGTGCTGCAGGTTGATGTGCTCGCTGGGCGAGAAGTCGTGCGGCGTGAGACAGTCGAGCACGAGAGCCACGCGCTGCACGGCCCGACCCGAGTAGACGGTGCCACGCGACGTGTCCACCTCCTCCAGGGCAATGTCCTGTGGACACAGGGGATGGGCATGGTGTCACTGCCGCAGCCCTCAGAGCGATGCTCACTTTGAAAAACACTTGATAAACATCTGGCAAACGTCCTCGCTGATGACTGTAAGTGAATGATAAACAAGCTTCTAACATCCTATTACAGGTTGACTAAAATGCATGTCCTGTTTAAAAGGATTATCCTTCCTTACCTTGTACAGTCCATGGTGTTGAATTACCCCCTGCTGGCCTCGCAACAGTGTGAGAAGCGAGTACTCAGTATGCAGCAGCATTTTGCCAAGTCGGTCATCTTGTTTTTCCTCGCTAGGGGGCTTCAGGCTCAAAATCTGAAGTGGAAATCCACAATTAATGAATGCTTCATATGCAGAACTGACATCAGATAAGCAGATCAGGCATATTTTTTAAAGGAAAATGCAAAATATCCAACTTAAACCTAAATTGATGCTAATAAAGCATGTAAAAAATGACCCAAACATGCTAGCTAACATCAAACAATGCAAAACAAGTGCACACCAACAAGAACATTCAGGTGCCAGCTGACTGGTCACTACACATGATGAAGAATAGAACCATTGAAGTAAGCATACCTTCACAGTGAAGAACTTGTCAGTCTTTTCTTGACGAGCAAGATAGTGTACAATACTCTTCACAGGCGAGTTTCCAAGCACAGGTCCCAAAATGAAGGGCCCAACTTTCTTAACCCTAACCATATCCACAAGAGTTCCAGGCTTGGGATCTGCAACAAGAAGTCATTTTACAATATAAGATGGGTATTTATTTCACAATTTCACATCAGTAGATATACCCAATGCCCATAAAAAATCTGCTTGTCATTACATATCCAGTAGGCACACCAATGCAACCAATGGAACTTAGTTCAATTTGTAGGTATTTGGTAGGTATATCAAAGCAATTAGTATCAACAAAATGTTTTGTCACAAGACACTATACTTACATGACTCATCTTTTTCTTTCAATGCTTCTAAGGCTTCAGAAATTCTTATCTTCTTTGGACTAACAACAGGAACAACTTGAGAACAGCAGAAACTAGAGGATCTTTTTCTTGACTGGAGACTCATCTCAGCACTGAAAAGAAAAGAAAGTGAATAAGCACAGCTTGTTTGCATTATCAGTGACATTCAATTTTTAGCACGATCTTGTTGCTGCAATACTGAACCCACAACAAAGTCATAGCATCAAAACCATTCCTCGTAAGTCACAACACAATCAGGTGGCAGTAAATGACCATCCGAATTATCGCTAACACGAAAATCCTGCATTAAACTTTGCCCAGAGATCAACCACAATTCAGTCAAGCAGCCCATTAGAGTTGCTCTCAAAAACTCAAATTTTAATATCAGAAATGGGTTTGGGTTGGTCAGGTTAGGTGAGGTTGGCGTCACCATCCACACCAACACCAGAATCATAATGGCACCAGTACTAACCTGCGCAAGGCCAGGCAGGGGGGTAATTCGATACACTTTCAAGTATTCACTCACACTTATCACTCACACGAACAAAACAGTCGAGAAAATAACTACCCTATGGCAGAAGCCAAGGTAGACTAGCAGTCCCGCTCCATCCTGCCAACTGTGAAGAAAAGACAGAGCGGTCGCAACGCAATGTTGTGGCAGCGACGCCGAGCCGAGCTACAGCAAGCCGCAGGGTGAGGAGGTGACGCAAACGTGACGCAAAACTATCACAGAGCAATGCGTTCTAGAACAGAACAAAGACCATTTGAAAGGATTATCTGACGTCATATACTATTGAGGTACATAAGAAATTATGTTTTCTGCTTAATAGGCCCAAAATGTTGCATTCATAGAAATAAAATGCTGTTACTAATCAAAATAATGCAGATTGTTACCAATAAAACTAAAATTAACTTTCAAAAATATTTTGACGTCATTTAAAGATCATTTAAAAATAAGTTATGTTTTGATTATTACTTGTGGCCTTGTTGATGACGTCAAGATTTTCTCGAAAATATTTCATGATTATGGCGAAAAATGACGTCATACTAAATTAATGCATTAAAAAAACAAATAACACAAAAATGAAAACAAGTTGTCTAGCTATATTGCTAGAGTATACAATTACTGGCTGGTTGTATGCACTATAACCACCCAATTGCACTTAATTTCTGAAGAAAAGACAAATAAATATTTTTCAACAAACCAAGTGTTAGCAATGAAATGGCATACAAAAACAACTCCACCAAATCTTTTTACCTATTCTTTTTTCACCGCAAACCATATTTGTCAATATCTTGAGCTTTTCGCTAAAATAGGAAGAACTTTACCAATAAACGTCATTTATTTAATTAATCCTTTTAACATAATATTCACGACCTTGATCGCAATGCAGCCCGCAAATTTACCAATTTCTAGTTTTGGAGGTCACCGTGGATTTTGGAAGACGGCAAGAGTCAAAATGAATAAGTGATTCAGGTATCATATGTATTCGTTGTCGAACGCATTGAAATATATTGGTAAGTATATATAAATGTCGTAGGATTATGGATGATCTCGCAAGATGATAGGAATATTTTGTCACTGCTGCGCCATTTCGCCAACTTCAACTCTTGAGGTTTGAAAAAAAAATCAATTTTCAGCTTTGAGATTTGAAAATTCCATGTTTAACTTAGAGGTCTGGAATACAATAGCAGTTTTGTAGATGCAGCTGAAAATTATGCAATAAAGAAGCTCTAACATTTGGATAACGGGTAGCTACCTAGGTACCTACCTATTCTTTCTGGATGCCGGTGAAAACTGGCCCTGTTTCACCGGTGATAGCAGCACGCTGTTATTCCATTTCGCGAGTCACACTTCTGGTAGTGTTGGAGGAATAGGTTTTTTGACGTCTCCATGGAAACTCAATTTGACACTTGTAATAGCAGCTTGCTGCTGTCACCTGTGAAACAGGGCCAGGGTGCCTGAGGGCATATTTATTTGGTCTGTGGGGCGTGACGTGGTTGTCACATGGTTTGTGCTAGTGCATTTTAAGAGCCTTGATAAAATCGCCCTAGGCGGCAGGCGCCATGTTTTCACCTTCGTCCTTCTTTCTTTCTAACTAAATCAAATCAAAACAAATCTAACCTAACCTGACCTAACCTAACCAGTATTAGTAGAGCAGATGTCACATGGAGCTTTTCTTACTGAGGAGAGACGCTATACCCAGAGGTGTTTTTTTCTAACAAAACCTAAAACAAACCTAACCTGACCTAACCTAACCTATAGGGTGCGGCAAAAGTATTGATACCTTCCGTCTTTTTGTAATAACTCAATGCATTTCCAACATGCCCCCGAATATGACATTTCTGAGCGCGCCCTTGCGTACCCGCATCCTTCCCCGAGGCGGGGAGTAGCTGAACAGCTGACCTCGACCCAGAGGGTCGCCGGCCAGGGTCATTATCCACCCGGTGGCCGCTGCAGTAGCCACGGCCGAACCATGAAGGTCAAACAATACAGTTTGGCGGCTCGCAGCCGCGCCATTGGCATGCTCCAAGCCGGCAAGACGCAGAGGGACGTTGCCTCACACTTTGGGGTCCCAATCCTCACCATCAAATGCTGGTGGAAGAAGTTTAAGGAGGCAGGGAGCGTCGCAGATTGACCGCGGTCAGGGCGCCCTTCCAGCATCTCGACCGTCGCCAAGATCGTGATGAAGAAAGCGGCTGGAAAATCTGGCCACTCGGCGAGGAAGCTGTCCAAACAGCTCACTCGGAAGAAATATCCGGTGTCCGAGAGGACTGTCCGCCGATACTGGAGGAACACCCTTGGATTGAAGGCCTACAAGATCCGCGTAAGGCCAAAATTAACGGAAAAACAGCGAGCATAGAGGCTTCAGTTTTGTAAGGAACGCAAGAACTGGACTGTGGAAGAGTGGAAACGGGTACTCTTCAGCGACGAGTCTCTCTTTCAACTCTTCCACCACCCAAACCGCCAGAACGAGCGAGTGTGGGCTGAGAACCCGGCTGAAGTCCCGAAGGCGTTCAGCGTCAAATTCCCGCCGAAACTGATGGTGTGGGGCATGATGTCCTACGAGGGACTGAGCCAGCTGCACGTGATCCCGCAGAAGACGTCGGTCAATGCCGAGTACTACGTGGAGCACATCCTCGAGGAAGTCTGCCTCCCTGCCATTAACAGGACGGCCACGACGGGCTCCGTCCTCACGCGCCGCATGGTCGAGCGCAGGTCGGGCAGCATTTTCATGCAGGATGGCGCTCCAGCTCATCGGTCTGCCAGAGCGCAGAAGTGGTGCCGGGAGCACCTCCCCAACTTCTGGGCTAAGGACAAGTGGCCAGGGAACAGCCCTGACCTGAATCCAATTGAAGAGCTCTGGGGGATAATGCAGCAGGAGCTGGACAAGAAAAAACCTCCCAGCAACCTTGGACAGCTCGAGAAGGCGCTCAAGAGGACGTGGGCGAACATCAGCCCACAGACTCTGAAGAACCTGGTGGCCAGCATGCCCGCACGTCTCCCACTCTGTGTCCAGCTTCGTGGAGAATACATTGACCGCTGAAATGAAACTGTTGTTTTAATTTTACGGGAGGGAGGGAATGAATGGTAAGGTATCAAAACTTTTGCCGCACCCTGTACAAACCTAGAACCTAAATTCTAAAACCTACAAACCTTCAACTTACAACCTGCCCTTCAACCTACCTACAAACTACAGCACCTTTCCTCAGTTGGACAACTTTCATGTGATGTCTGCTCTACTAATGCCACCTTACCTACAACCTACAAACTTACAACCTACAACCTAGAAACCTAAAACCTAGAAACCTTCAGCCTAGAAAGTAGAAACCTATAGTGCCTCAGTATCAGTAGTGCTGGCTTACACCTTCTCCATTGGCACCAAGGACAAGGTTCAAAGTTATGTTTATTCTGATGCTTGCAGATGGCAACACTTTATAAAATTACATGCATGTGATTAAGCCAAGTCAAATACAAATAATGAACATCAATGAAAAATGCATTCATATATAACCAAACCTGACCTACCCTAATTGTACAACTTACCATTTACCACCTACAGCAGTCCCAGTGCTTCTCCTTGGTTGGAAAACCTTCATGTGATGTCTACACTAGTAATGCCCAACCTACCAAGCTGCAGCACCAAGGTTTGGTCGGAAAACCTTCATGTGGCATCTTGTGTGGATATTTGGCCCTTGGGCCAAACCAGATTATCCCGGAAGGTAAAATAAGCTTGAAAGATTGGGGAAAAGGCAATTGATAACTCGCTATGAGATCTTTCAAAATTATCAGGTCATTTTTCAATCAGGTCATTTCTGAGGTCACTAGAGGTCTTTAAAAGTAAAATTATCACGAATTTCGGTTCCCAATTTCGACAACTTTTCATACAGCGGTGCATGACTCGGGAACCAACAGAGCTGCAGTGCCGCGGGAAAGTGTATTCGGTAGCTACTTACTTGAAAGTTCTTTCTTAGGATTGTTCTCAGATTTGATCAAAGGTCATTGCTTTAGCCTCCGGAGAGCAAAAACTCAAAATTTGACATTTTTCGGTAAACGTCTGTAATAACTCTGACACCAAGCGCGTATTACGTTCGTTTTACCGGCATCACGTTTCTCTAGTTGAGACACGTCAAATGAACTTTAAGTTGACAACTTAGGTCATGGTCACAGAAAAGGTCATGTTGCATATCATGCATATCAGCCCTGGCTTACACCTTCTCAAAAATTGGACCTCAGGTCAAGGTAATGGCCTGACAGGAAAAGGTCATGCTACATATCAGTCGATCCGTATCGTCGAGCCGAACAGATCTAAAGCGTTTTCCCCGCTGGAGCGTAACGAGGGGGTCACGGGTGCCATTTTCCGGTTCATTGTGTCATGTTTACTTGTAATTCGATGTTTGAAAGTGTTTAGAATGACGTTGGTCCAAAAGAGGCGCTTTTCAATTTTTCCCATTGACTTAAATGGAGAGGTCGGATAATTGATCTGACCTTAGGTCACCGATATCAAATTTCCGAGAGAAACATTTTGTAGGTACTGTTATCCTTATCAATTGCTGAAAGTTTTAAAGTGATCGGCCACTCGGTGTAGCTATGGCTGGCATTTAATTTTTTATGAGGTGAGGCCACCTGGCGTGACCTTGTGACCTGACGTTGAGTGACCTTGGCCTGAAATTTACACAGCATATGCAGAAAAGATGCATGATAAGCCTGATAAGGTGTGCTGAAAACGGTGCCGCCGGAGGGGGTGTTCAAACACCCCCCAGCAGGGCGCGGGTTAATAAAGTGTCGTTTTCAATGCTTCGTACCACGACTCCGAAACCCTGCTCTGTAGCCCTACGCGAGATAGCGCCCTTAGCGTTCACGCGAGCGTCTAGAGACTTGAATAGGATTGGTAAAGTTTTATTTTACCCTCACTGTAAACATCTTTTAGAACACAGCACGAGAATTGCAGGCTGAATTACTCCAAGAGAATTACTCAGCCCCCGCTCACGAGCTCCAGAATCCCTTTACCGTGACGTCACCACGGCGGTAGAATCTCCCTTCACCCATAGGCATGCATTGCACATTTCATCATCTTTCGAGCGAGCTGGAGAAAAAACAAGGATTATGTGCCATCAAAAGTTGTACCAATGTAACAATGAGTTCGCCTCATTACGATAAATGGGGCTGACACTAAAAAAAGGACTATATCGAGCCAACATCAGCAATTCAAATGACGCCTTCATTTCAACGTGAAGGATTTCCTCTACCATGACGTCACCACGGCGCCTTTATTTCCCTAGTGAACCACCCTGAGTAGTAAAGGAATCTTGGCATTACTGAGAAAACTGCTTAGTGCACATTGTGCCGTTGATATGAATAATATTTTTTTCTTCAAAATAAGTTTGAACACCGATCATTTACCGTTAAGTTAAACGCTGTACGAGTTGCTAATTACTTCAGTTATTATTCCCGACAAATCGTCTATCCCTGTGGGGTTGTAACTATGGGCAACTACGAATTGCGAGTCCGGGAACTAGGAGCCAGGTAGAAATGATTTTGATAAAGTTGATCGTCTGTGAACTTAATGTGCGCCAACCAGTTTTCGTGTTTCAGCTACCAGTTCTCGTGCTGTGTTCAAGGAGACGTTTACAGTGAGTGTCAAACTTAAAGTAAACGAGCTAAGGTTCATCTTGTTCGACAGGTTGAATGACGATGAGAAGACGGGCACAACTCAAGATGCGTTATTGACTGCTGCCGCTGCATGCCTCTGAAACTTAAGCTCCACGTTACGATCACTCCCAGGTCATTTTGTTCTGTCTCCGCCTGCATTGCCAATTCTATCACAATTTGCATCCTATCCCTTGATCATTGCCTTTCATCCTCACTCTGAAAATGTAGTGTTCGCACGACACACCTACACACACTAACTAATACTAAGGTGGATATATTTTTTTAATAATTGTCTCTGGAACGATCCCAAGCATTGCTTGGCAACCTGTCTTGTTGGGTGTCCCTCTTGACCTGTCACTGGTGGCCTCATCACTCCATGTCTCCCCCGAGGAGCTGGTCGAGTCCGTCGCCGGGTCGACCGACTGCCGCCCTGCCCCGCTCGCCGCTGCCGCTCCTTGGCCCCGGCCGGTCTCCCCTATATACCTACCCACTGTCATCATATTGCAGTTGCCCTGCAGCGGTTTTCTTAGAATACGAGTACAATGTGGAATCGAGCACCGAACTAATTCCTGTGATGATGTCATGATTCTGAATGTATCTAACATTGCCTTTTACCGATGTGCTGTCAAGTTGTATGCATTGGTTGTCATTCCCTTTCTATAACCCTTACTACCTGCTCCCTTTGCAATTCTTGTTTGTTTATTTTGTTGGGTTAGGCCCTTTCGTTCAATTGAGACCATTGCAGAACCGCGAGGATGATAGGAATTAGGGGGAGACTTTGGTCTGGGCAGGCACTTAAAGAGAGTCACCGGTGCTGACCCCGATCCAAATAGACAGACCGACCAGCCCCCCAAGTACTCTCTGCACCTGGTTACGGCTGTGGTCCCTTAGGAGCTGCGGTGCGCTCCAATGGGAGCCGCCCGCATCGGATAAAGTTGCCTGTCCAGCCCGGATTAAGGGGTTGCGGCGTGGAGGAGAGGGATTTGAAATTTTGAATGTCCTGAGGATGGAAACGACGGAACGGTTGCTTTGTGATGAGGGCCTTTACTGTATAACCTATTTGGAAAGTAATCTGGGTGTGTCCTATGGGCTGTGACCGTGGATAAAAAGCAAGTGTTTTGAATCGACTGATTCTGTAAACCTCAGTGCAAGGCCATATTACATATACCTCAGTGTAGGATAATTATCTTTACTATTTTTTTTTCATTCTGTCGACAGATGAACGGGAACAATGGCCGAGACGAGCCCTTCCAGCGTACGAGAGAAGTTTGTGGCTGTATTCCAGTCGGTGCTGCCATCTGTGGGCAGCGGCGAGAGCCTGAGCCTGCTGCTGACCTCGCTGGAGTCGTGCCTGTCGAACAACGCGACCGTGTTCCTGGCGGCTCACGGCGAGCCGGCCGGGGAGCGGCAGCGCAGCCATGAATTCACCGTATGGGTGCTGGCGCAGCTGGTCCTGGTGCAGGGCGATCTGCCCGACGGAGCGACGAGGCAGCGCGCCGCCTCCTGCGCCGTCCGTCTGCTGCGCACGCTGCACGCGCGCGAGCCGGTGCTGCTGGCGGGCGCCGTGCTGCCGCTGTGGCTGTCGCTGCTGCAGCAGCTGACGGCGCCGGCCGCCGGTGGCGCCACGCTGCGGCTGCTGGAGGACTCACCGCTGCCGCCGGTGGAGAGGCGTCTGCCGGTCGGCACTGCGCTGGCTGCCTTCCGAGACACGGTGCTCGGCTGGCTGCTGTGTGAGGAAGTGCTCCAGCTGCTGGTGATGTCTAACGCTCAGCTGAGCGCCGCCGTCACCTGCCTCGGCCGTCTTGGGCGCACCGGTAGCCGCTCTGCAGCGCTGCGGGCCGTCACCAGTCTGGTGGGCGAGCGGCCGGCATCCCTGAGACACCGCCTGCTGCGTGCCCGCCTGTTGCCGCCGACCCCAGCGCCGGCCGAGTTCACCCGCCTGCCGCCGGCCGCCTGGCGCGACGCTGCAGTGTCGCGAGCTGCGTCGGTAACACCGCCTGAACAGATGGCGCTGCATATGCTGAGTGCGATCGAGGAATCCCCGGTGAACGGGTTTTCTGGCGTGTATCGGCACGCAGTGGACGCGACGGAGTGTATGCTGCAGTGGCCGGTGGATGTGGAGGTGCAGAAGCTGCTGGTGGCCGTGCTCTCCCTGCCGTGGCTCGGGGCAGAGGTCAGCTGGCTGGACCTGCAGCCGACGGCCGGTCGACCCGAGGTCAGAGCGCGACTGGAAGCCGTTATCTCCAAGCTGGGTCCTGCCGCGGGCTCTGACGCGGCCGAGGACTGCCTGCGTGTGCTGGTCATGTTCCCGCACTTCGTGTGTCCGCTGTGGCGAGCCAAACTGGTCGGTAAACTCTGTGGTCAGTGTGAGGTCAGCGAGGAGCTCTTGCCGGCAGCGGCCCTCAATATCGGCCGATCGGCAACCGGACAGCTAATGGCGGCGGTGACGTCATATAGCCAGCTGGCTCCCCTCGGCCGGCTGCTGTGTCTGAGTGCCGGGTCCGCCTCTGTGTGTCTGGAAGAGGAGGGATCGGCAGACCCTCCAGCAGACTGTATAGGACTGGGAAAACTGCAGATGTACTGTGCTCAGTGTGACTGGCAGTTGCCGCCAGAGGGAGCGCGGCGCATGTCAGTTGCTACGGTGCCGCCCACTGAAGTGGTCGCTGTCATCATCGGAGCTGTGACGTCATGGGAGCGGCCGGTGACGTCATCCGAGCACCGGGCGCTTGTGAGTTGCATAAACCACGCCGAGGACCGAACAGCCGTGGTGCGCGCTGTGCTGGCACTGCCGAACGCTGCCGAGTGGTCGCCGGCGCTGTCTCAGGTGCTGTACGGAGGGGGAGACGATGACGACCGCGACTGGCGGCCGGCACAGACGCTGCTGTTTGAGTGGCTGGCGTCTCTGGATGACGAGCAGTGCGCGCACGTGTTGGACAGTCTGCTGTATCGGGTCCAGTGGATGTCTCCGTGGGTGATGGCGCAGGTTCTGGCGGTGCTGCAGCGACCTCTGCTGTGTGGTCAGTCCGCGATCTCGGCCACGGCGCACCTCTGTCTGCAGGAGCTGGCGCGGAGGTCCGAGCTGCCGCCCTCCCAGCTGTGGCTCGGCCACCGCGCGGTGGTGTGCGCCGCCTTGGCGAAGCACCTGCTCCAGTCGGGCGCGCCGCTGGCAAGACTGGGCGCCGCTGCCGCCGCCTGGGAGTGGCGTTCGCTGGCCACTCTGCTCCAGGTGGGCCGAAGACACCTTCTGCCGCCGCTCGTGGTCGCCATGGCAACGGCTGGACGCGCCGACCTCCTGGACGACGCCGTGGCGACGCTCGAGACGAGTCCGATGGACCTGCTCATCGACAACTACCAGTACGTCATGTCGCATCTGGTGCTGTCGGGGAGACGCGCCGACCTCGGAAAGCTACATGCGTTCATCGAGAAGGCTACTGGGAAGGATATTGCTGGGATCCGGCGCTGCTCCCTGCAGGGCCAGGTCAGCGAGCTCGTACTGGGTATGCACGCCCATCGAGAAGATGTGATCCGCGAGCTGGGCTGTCTGGCGCAGCTGGACGACGACGGCCCACCAAGCGGACGGCCCGTGCCACTGGAGACGCTCGTGAAGTACTTGTCGGGCCGGCTACTGGGTGTGCTGGGCTCGGCAGATGCACGCCTTAGCTCCTCGGTCACCTCCGATGAGGAAAAGCGTCTCGTGCTGCTGTCCGTGGGCGAGCTGTGCAAGCTGCTTGGCCGTGCCCCCGTCTCAGCAATTAGCAGGAAGATGGTGGCCACGCTGAAAGCGGGCCTGTCAGTTAGAGGTGTGGATCATGCATCTGTGTGGGTCAGTATGATACGCGCGCTCGATGGTCCTGCTCTTCGCGCACTGGCGTCTGAGCTGCTGGTGACACTGGCGCCTCTGCCACCTGCTGAGCGTGCTCCTGCGCTGAAATGCCTGCTGACAGAGCGAGCTGAGGACTTGACTGATGTACTGGACGAGCTGCCGGACGTGGACTCGCTGCCTCAGCTGGGCGCCGTCAGCCTGTGCAACTCTCAGGCGCCGCTCGCCGACCGGCTGGCGCGCGCTGTCCGCATGCTGACCCACCACAGTGTGCTGGTGCGGCGGCACGTTCTGCTGGACGTGCGCCGGCTGCTGGCGCAGCACAGTAAGGAGCTGAACACCATGGTGCGGTCAGCGGCCGGCGGCCAGCCGACGCTCGGTGAACTGATGGACGCCCTGCTGGCCGCCTGCCGGGACGCCGACAATGACGCCCGCCGCCTGGTGGCCGAATGTCTCGGCTCGCTGGGCGCCATCGATCCGGCGCGGCTCACCACCGCCGACAAAGTAGTGAATTCTGCACAGCCTGTGCCGCTGGCGCCCATCGCTTCGGACGATTTCGCCACAGAGTTGCTTACTCAGCTGGGAAGAGCGTACAGTGCGGCACCAGATGGAACATCTCAGGCCTTTGCGTCCTTCGCCATGCAGGAGGTGCTAAAAATTTACGGTGTGAGCGGCGGCGGCGGGGCGGCACTGTGGGATTCACTGCCGGCAGAGCTGCGGCAACTCCTGGCTCCGATGCGGACATCCAAGTACAACGTGACAACCTCGCAGAGCCGGAACCCTTCTTTGATTGTGTACGGCAGTGCTGATGCCGCCGGAGGATACTCTGACTGGGTCGGTCTGTGGCTGACTCAGCTGTCCAGTTTCGTCACGCAGTCACAAGCAGCGCAGGTGTTCAACGCCACGCGCTCCGTTGCGTGTCGTGACGTGACGCTGGCGGCGTTCCTGCTGCCGTATGTCCTGGTGACGGCCGTCATCGACGGAGGCGACGCCGCGCAGCGAGCGGCCCTGGCTGAGATCGAGGCTGTGCTGCGCGACCAGTCGCCAAAGTCCACCGAGACCCACCGACTCTGCTGCCGCTCTGTGTTTGCTGTGCTCGACGCAGCGGCCGGCTGGCGGCTCGATCGACAAGCACAGTGCGGCAACAGCTCACGACTGCTGGACGCGTTGCGCCGGGATGACACCGCTTTCTGCGCAGTCTCCGCCTTCCTTGAACGCGTACCGTTTGACGTGGTGGCCGAAGCTAGCCGACGCTGCGGTGGGCAAAAGAGGGCACTGCAGTCATTAGAACTCCACCTACGAAGGCACCCGACGGAACTGGCGGCGCGACTGCCGCTGCTGCAGGCGCTGTACGTCTCGCTGGCCGAGCCGGACGGCGTGGCCGGCGTGTCTGCCACTCGGCAGGAGGCCCCGTCAGTGGCGGACCAGCTAGTGCTGCACCAATCGCGTGGCCAGCTTCAGGACGCGCTCTCCTGCTACGAACACGTGTGCAGTACGCCGGGCAGTGAACTGGAGGGGTACCGAGGCCTGGTGAGCTGCTACCTGAGTCTGGACCAGCCGCACTCGGCGCTGGGCCTGGCGCGCGCGCTCGCCGCCCGCTCCGACGCCTGGCAAGAAGAGTTTGGAGAGTTGCTGGTGGAGGCCACCTGGCGTCTGGGCCAGTGGGACGCGCTGGAGCCGGCGCTCGAAGACACTCCGCTCACTTCGTGGGGAGCCGCCGTGGGCGCAACACTCCTCCACGCCGACCAAAAGAAGAAAACTGAGTTTGAGAAGATGCTGAGCTTTTGTCGCGAGCAAGAGATGGCACCTCTCTGCCTAGCCACGATCGAGAAGGGAAGTTACGCGCGGGAGTACGAGCATTTAGTGCGCTTACACATTCTGAGCGATATGGAGCGTGCGCTGCCCAGCCTTCTCTGGGAAGAGGGAGAGCCAAACACCGCCGCAGAGCTGGCGACCTGGCAGCGCCGACTGGACACCGTGCGGCCGGCGGTGAGCTCTCTGGAGCCAGTGCTCACTGCTCGCCGTGCGGTTCTCACCCTAGCTCGAGATAGACTGAGAGACCGTGCCTCCAGTGCTGCCGACACACTTGACCTAGAGATCGGTCGGTGCTGGCTGCGCAGCGCGCGCGTCTCGCGGGAGGCGGGCCAGCTGCAGAGGGCGGCCAACTGCCTGCTCCAGATGGAACCCCAGGAGCGCCGGTTGCCCGAGGCGTTCGTGGAGCGAGCACGACTTCTGTGGCTGCGTGGAGATGGAGACAATGCCATCCGCGTGCTGCGCCAGGGCGTGGAGAGCCACTTCCCGGACTGGTCTGCGAACCTGAAGGCTGGCCGGCTGACCACGGAGAACCGCAACATCCTGGCAGAAGCGAAACTCCTGCTGGCGCGCTACTGTGAGGAGTCGGCGCACATGGACAGCAGCGTCATCAATCAGCACTTCCTTGAGGTGACTGAGATTCGCCTAGACTGGGAAGAGGTACACTTCTACACCGCCAAGTACTTAGAGCGACTTTGGGCGGCGCTGCCGGCGGTTGGACGTGACTCGAGCCAGCTGGCGGCACGCGTAGTGCACGCGCTCGGGAAGTCTCTCCAGTACGGCTGCCGGCATGTCTACGAGTCGATGCCGCGGTTGCTCAGTGTGTGGCTGGACTATGGCGCTGATGTGTCAAACAACAAGACCAACAAACGAGCTGTGGACGCGGCGCTGGTGGCGAAGAACATAGACATGATGTGCCGGAGGGTTGGCCAGCTGCTGCAAGGGCTTCCTCTGTACTGCTTCCTCACCTCGCTGCCGCAGATCATCTCGCGTATCTGCCACGGCCGACCTGAGGTGTACGCCCAGATCCGCGACATCCTGGCCGCCCTGCTGGCCACCTATCCCAGGCAGTGCATGTGGTCGATGCTGGCCGTCTCTCGCTCGTCGTATCCCATGCGGGTCGAACGCTGTCAGGATGTCTTCGCGCGCGCCAAAGCGAAGAAGCCGTCTCTGGCGACCTTCATCAGCGACGTCTCGCGTCTGGCCGACAAGCTGGTGGATCTCTCCAACAAGCCTGTGGACAAGAAAGTGAGCCGCCTGAGCATGACGGCTTTCTTCCCGAGCCTGCGCCGACTAGTGACGGCCAACTTCTCACAGATCTTGGTGCCGCTACAGCAGCAGATGACGGTGGTGCTGCCCGAGACGGCCGCGCAGCACGGTAACAACTTCCAGCCGTTCCCCGATGACCAGGTGTGCATCGCCGGCTTCGAAGACGAGCTGGAAGTGATGCCGTCGTTAGTCAAGCCGAAGAAGATCACCATACGGGGTACGGACGGTCGCAAGTACACAATGATGGCCAAGCCAAAGGACGACCTTCGCAAAGACTCGAGGCTGATGGAGTTCAACCGGCTGGTTAACAGACACTTGGCCAGCGACGCCGAAGCGCGGTCACGAAGTCTCCGTATCCGGACATACACGGTCATCCCTCTAAACGACGAGTGCGGCCTGCTGCAGTGGGTGCCGAACCTGAGCGGCATGCGCCAGGTGCTGCTCACCCAGTACCGCCGGCGTGGCAACGTCATGACCAACGCCGAGCTGAAGCAGGTCTGTCCGCGTCTCGAAGACTCCCTGGAGACCAAACGTAAGGTGCTGGTGGAGCAGCTTCTGCCACGCCACCCGCCGCTGCTCAGCCAGTGGCTGGTGGACACCTTTGCCGAGCCGCAGGCGTGGTACACGGCGCGCCTCAACTACGCCAGGACCACGGCCGTCATGTCCATGATCGGCTACATCCTCGGCCTCGGTGACCGGCACGGCGAGAACATCCTGCTGGACGCCTCCTGTGGTGACTGCGTGCACGTCGACTTCAACTGTCTCTTCAACAAGGGCGAGCTGTTCGATTGGCCGGAGCGCGTGCCGTTCCGGCTGACGCACAACATGGTGAATGCGCTCGGTCCTACGGGCGTGGAGGGCGTGTACCGGACCGCCTGCGAGGTGACCATGTCGGTGATGCGCCAGCAGCAGGACGCGCTCATGTGCGTGCTGCGGCCGTTCGTGCACGATCCACTCGTTGAATGGAGCAAACAGGAGCGCAAGACGCGCGACGTCGGCGAGATTGTTAACGAGAAAGCGCAGGCGCACGTGGGCGACATTGAGCAGCGCCTCCGCGGCCAGGTGCGCTCCAAACTGAAGCCGGTGCCGATTCCGCTGTCGGTGGCCGGCCAGGTCAACTACCTGATCGAGGAGGCTACCAGCGTCGACAACCTGTGCCAGATGTATATCGGCTGGGCGGCGCACTTCTGAGTGGGCCAGCGGCAGCCGTACTACTCAGCTACTGTGATGTTTGTTTTGTGAACCGGACAGGTTCGCAGCTGTGCCATTTGCGCTTCGTCATTGTACTGACCTGTGAAGCATCTTGTGATTTTTTGATAATGTGTTCGTTGTTTGTCAGCACCTACCAGCTGGTGCAGTTTTGTATTTTTCAACTAAAGTATTTGTTGATTCGAGAGTGATGTTAAGAACCTAAAATATTGCAAATAAATGAGTTTTGTATTGATATAACGGGAGCTGTATGTAGACAATGGAGATCGAGATGGCGTGAAGGTAATACGGCGAACCGTTTGGGGTACAGAAATGTCAACATGTTCATATGATGCAGTGACCTGCGAGCAAACCACGGTTTACGATATCAGCATTGAGTGATACTGATGCCTGGCCTGTCCGCGGCCGGTTTTTATTTCGTATGTGTAGGCCTTTGCGGTCAAATCAAATTTCCCGAGAGCCGGAGGGATGATAGAAATCAAGGGATGACAATGGTCTGGGCAGTGTGGGTGGGCGGTCACACTGGTGCGCCGCCGGGGCTGAGCCCGTCCAGTGGACAGGCCACCCAGCTCCGTCAATGCAATGGTCACCCCACTGCACGATGGATCTACCGGATCTACTCCCTGGGGAGGAGCTATACGCTACCCGCGCCGGGTATGAGACTGTTCACTGTTCTGTCCAGCACAGGGGGTTCGAGGCGTGGAGAAGATGACGAGGATTCTGGATATGAAAAATGACTGAACGGGTTTCCCGTCCTCTCAGATTTAGGTATATTAGACTGCCGCTGATTTCCCGCGGTTTTGGATTCGTTCGTCGAACGAAATGAAAATCTGCCATACCACGTTTGGAAATCATTCGATCGATAAATGTCACTTTTCCCATGAACGCTTACGCGGCAAATTTGAAACTGTCTGCATGCAGAATTTCGTATTAGCTTCTTGCCGTGCGCGTTGGCTAGTTTTCAGAGGCGGATCCAGCTCAGAGTTTTTTTTTTGGAGGGGGGGGGGCAAATCGTAACAATTTATCGAATCTTTCCATGCCTCGTCCATAGGCGTAATGTTAAAACCACGGTGTTAAAACTATGCCGTTTGGGGGGACAAATGCCCATTTTGCCCCCCCCCCCCCCTGGATCCGCCACTGCTAGTTTTTGTTTTCAAAGTTTCAAATAATTTGTCAAAAAAATTGTAAAATGTTTCTAGATTGTAGAAGGTTTCGCTAGGTTTTGGAACTTATCCCTAGGGAAAAATTAAAACGAACGCGCCCTCTGATGACAAACACTGCGTGCTAGAGACATACCGTTTTCGTGTTCAGTGTTCTCTTTTAGATAACGGTAAGTTATTGAGAGAATCAATAACCAGTAGAAAATCGAAAAAGGAGAGTCAAATAGCATACGTGCTGCTGATTGGTGCACACGGTAGATCATTTCTGAAACGCGTGTTGGGTGCTTGAAACAGAACAGCGGTTGGTAGTAAGCACAAAAAAACCTGTTCGTGATTATTTTTGTTATTATCATTATCGCACAGCGCAGGCCACGTGTGAGGACGTTTCCGGAGAGGAGAGACATAAGCGTCAAGATTTAGAAGTTGCTATTTGGTTATTGCTTTTCTTTAATTTAATTGTCTTTGAGAGAGGACGATTAACTGGAGGGTGGTGAATATTCCACCGACTGGTTTTCGCTGTTGAGTTCATTCAAGGCCATTTCATTTGTACTTGTAGTTGCATTCGGAGGTCGGTAAGTAGGCGTATGGATTGGACGTGATGGAGGGGCCAAGGGCCTTAAAACGGACAAGAGTGGATGAAATGAGTTTCTGGGGAGATGCAGATGAAGGAACCCAGGGGGTTTATCTGCAACTCAAACTTACATCTGGGAAAAGTGTGAAGGAAAGAGGGTGGCCATGGGTTCAAACCTGTGTCCGAGGCATTCTTGGCGGACAGGAAAAAGTGGCCAAAGCTAACTTCATGGCAGACGGGTCTTTGCTAGTCAAGACCAAAAACGAGGTTCAGACAGACAAACTCTTAAAGGCCCAACTTTTTGGTGGTGAGGAGTGTGTCGTACAGAGGGACGCGAGATTGAATCAGAGCAAGGGTATCATACATGCGCCTGACCTGATTGACTTGTCAGAGTTGGAGATCTGTGGTTGGTTTGAGGAGTTTGGTGTGGTTGGCGTAAAAAGATTCACGAGGAAGGTAGGGGAGGAAGTTCAGCGCACGCCCACTCTTCTTCTTACCTTCAACACCCCAACATGTCCCTCACAGCTCCAATTTGACTATGTCAGGTACCCAGTCAAGAAGTATATACCAAACCCACTTCTTTGCCACAACTGTGGGAAATACGGACATGCACAGGAAAGGTGTAAGGCTGAGTGTATATGTCTGAACTGTGCCTCCAAAAAACATGAAGGGACTTGCTCTCCAAAGTGCATCAACTGTGGTGAGGCTGGACACGGCTGCCTCTCCAAAACCTGCAGTGTTTGGAAAACTGAGAGGGACATATGTGAAATTAAAGTGGACAGAGATGTCTCCTATGCCCATGCTCGTCGTATCCATCGCACAGAGAGGGGGAACTTGCCTCCTGAACCACGCTCCTTTGCAGCAGTGGTACGGAACTCGAGTGAAAGTGTGCGCTGTGACGATTCCCTGAGAGTCAGAGTGGAGAATGTCGAGCATAAGCTTGACAAAATGCTCACGCTACTGGAAAGACTATTACAGCTCCACAGTGCCACACTCACCAAAGAAATGGGCAACACCACAGAGACATCTCTGAACCCAACACCAACTCAGGCAGAGCCTTCAGTGGCACAGGCACTTGCCAACACGCCCTCAACGAACCTCTCCCAGCGACAAACCGTACCAGACAGTGAGAACGAAGGCAGCAGTGACACCTCAATGTCTGACACTGAGGAAACAGAGACTACGCCTCAAAACAGATCACAACGGGAAACTGTTAGCCCACCCTCCCCTCGGGAAACTCACCAGCTGGACAAGCGGAGTACAGGTAGATCACAAAAGAGGGTACAGCATGGGTGCCCACAGGAAAAAAGGGAAGACTCTTCCCCACATATAGGGAAAAGATCTGGGAAAGTCACAGATAAGAAAAACATCCAGAATGCCAAGCCTCACCAGGATGGCATTCACTCCAGGTCCTCCTGCAGGACCACCCCAATCGTAGTCAGGAAACCACCAGACCTACTCATAGGTATTGTAGATGGCGCCAGCCAGATTTGGTGCATTGTGGTACTTGTCCGTGTTGCATTATCCTTTTCCGGCCTGTCTGATTTACCTATGCCTTTGGTTGTTCTGTTTTGTCATCACTCCCCGCCCTCTAGCCGGGTTTGTTGCGTCAGAATTCTGGCAGCTTTAGAGATGCGCGTCGAGCGAGGCGGATAAAATGTATAGAAGGCGTGTGTTTTCTGCCGAGATATTGAAGATTTAACCATGAGAAATATTATTGTATTCGTCGCGTGGATTTGGAATGCCAAACATGCTTAATTTGATATTTGTGCGAGTGATGGTGAAATCTCGGTACGTGTCAGTGTGCGACACTATTTCGCTCTTTTCGGCGGGTGCGTCTGGCCCGAGAGGTTGTGTCGGCTGCGGTGCTGGTTTTGGACAGAAGGTGGGTGGATATTGATCGATGATTGTCGTAAATTTGTTGCTAAAGGAATGTTGATTGCTTTGTCAGGCGTTAGATTTATTTTGCATACGTATTTCGGTAGTTATAATATGCTCATAGGACGGCATGGGATTTCGCCTCAGGTGCGTCATTTTGCAGTGTGTTCTGTTTGTATAGGTGCCCGGGGAGGAGCTCGGCCTGTGCGAGCCCGGTTTTCCCCGTGGCTGAGTGCGCCGTGTGACGAGGCCGCGGTACGAGGTCGGCCGCGGCACGAGGTCGGCCGCGGCACGAGGTCGGCCGCGGCACGGGGTCGGCCGCGGCACGAGGTCGGCCGCCGGGAGGTCGGCCGGCGCGAGCCTGCTGCGGTGCGAGGTCGGCCGCTGAGAAAAGGGCGTGGAGACCCTTACAGCCGGTAGGATATGTTTATTTGTTTATTAACTTCGAGGTGATATTTGTAGGGGAATTGTGTTAGCTAGAGAGTGGGAAGTGTAAAACGGAAATTGCTGTTAAATGTATTATTGTTTTCATTTAATCTAAAACCAACATATTTTGTATGTACTGCGCAGTGCGAGTGTCGATGTGAGCGCTGGTGGATTCGTGTCCTAGTATGCTCGCTGACGCCCTGCTGTGCTCCACAGTAACGAATCAGTTTAAATACAACTGTTCAGTCAACGGCGTGGTCTCGACGTGCGTGAGCAGCTGAGCTTGGAGTCGTAGACGCCCGGCGGCGGTCGCCTGTGGCGATTGCTGCACCACAGCGTCGGCTGTGGAAACTACAGTTACGGCTCGGCCTCCGTCTACACTCTGGCTGTGCAGCAACGGCTGGGTCAGCTGCAGCCGGCTGCTGCTGCAACTCCGGGTAACCTGCTGCTTCAGCTGCATCTGGCTGCGCTTGATACCGGTGAGATGTGACTGACCTGTGCTGTTGCATAGGAGTTTGGCGTTCTGCCAGGAGTGAGTCTGGCATTCTGCCAAGAGCGAGTCAGACGTTTTTGCCAAAGTGAGTCTGGTGCCTTGCCAGACAGAGATTGACATTTCTGCGACCTGATCTGGCACTCTGCCAGAACAGGGTTTGTGTTTGGTGTTCTGCCAGGACTGAGGTTTGGTACTTGGCTTTCTGCCAGGACTTGAGAGCAGTGACGGGGAGCTAGCTGGTGGGGTTGCACAGTTGTGGTTGCCCGTGTGCGTGGGTGCTGACGCTATTAGTGTTAGAGATGTTGACGTTAGGTCAGTGATGAGCGCGTTTCTGGTTAACTAATGTGTGTTGTGTATTCTTAGCTTTGTAGTTTGTAGGGTGTGTAGTTTTAAGTACTGGCTGGGCGTTCCTACCAGATCCTGAACCATTCCTGAACTATGAGTATCACCGCACTGACTAAGGAGGAGTTGGGAAGACTTAGGGTCTCAGACTTGAGGAAGGAGCTAGAGGAGTTAAACTTAGATGTAACCGGGACTAAAGTAGAACTTGTAGAGAGGCTGTGGGGTGCTATCGAGGGACGCGCGTCAGGTGAAACAGAGATTAAGAGTGTTAGGACTGAGGCGCAGGACGTGGGTAGCGCAGAACCCCAGGCCCAAGTGAGTGTTGCCCCCCTGCGTGGTGCTGGTGCGACCTCATCTGAGGGGCCGCCCG